CTTCCATTAGTTATCTTACTCATGGGGGGACAACTCCTGTTGAGTTCATTACCTTGAACCCTGGAACACTTCAAGGGCTCTCCAATTATCTCAATAGTGATTAAAAAGATACTGGCCAGGGAATCTCATACAAGATCACAGATGTAGAGTTGGCAGAGACATAATAGATCATCTAATCTGATCCCTTCATTTAACAGGTGACGAAACTGTGACCCATAGAGCAAAACGACACTTGAAATTTCTCTCTCCAAAGTTACCAATGATATTTAATTGCCAAATCCAATGGCCTTTTCTTGATCTCACACTTCTTGACTTCTCTGAAGTCTTTGACAAAATCAATCACTCTCTTATATACACACACATATACACGCATACATACGTATACATGTACATATACATATATACACATAATGCACACATACACCTACACATGCACACATATGTATACATGTACACACACACACACACACACATATTGGCTACACACAATATATGGAGTAGACCCCGAATTGAACTGAATTGAATAGGAGGAGGAAGAGAGTAGGTTGGATTACTTTTGGGAAATTATGCCATGCTTTTGATCCATAGCTACTTAATACCTTGAGCCTTTTTTTTGTTTTGTTTTTTTCTTTCTGGTGAGGCAATCAGGGTTAAGCAACTTGCCCAGGGTCACACAGCTACTAAATGTCAAGTGTCTGAGGCTGGATTTGAACTCAGGTCCTCTTTACTCCAAGGCCAGAGCTCTATCCACTGTGCCACCTAGCTGCCCCAAGACTTTTTTAAAATAAAAAAAAAATGGCATGAAATCTATGGGGGAAGAGTGACATTCTTCTCTGTCTTTGAGAGACATGCACAGTGCTAGTCAGTTTGAGATTGACTCCTTCCTACCCTGCCCCACACCATGATTCTCTGCATTAGATCTTGCTCAACATTCTCTCTAACAATTGAGAGAGTTTTGTGCCAAATGCCTCAGGATTGGCTAGAAACTCAAATTAGATACACATCAATAGTTTTCTGGTGATAAGATATGGCTTTGAATCATGGTTCCACGATGGCATGTTGGCAACAGAATCACAATTACAGGTCATTGTAAGGACAGTAAAAGGACAGATGGTTGGTGTGAAAAGGCTAAAACTTGATAACTTGCTTGTAAAAAGTGACATAAAAAACATCATGAAGGCAATATGTGATCAGGAAAGGAGGCCAGCTGATCAAATAGAAAAGCAGTGAAGTGGTGATGCATAGCCCTGGAATTCTCAAAAATATTAAAAGAAACACAAGAAGGGTTACAGCAGGTTGAAAAATACTCTTTGGAGGTTTTATGGAAAGACACCAGTAAGAATCATGCAGAATAAGAAGGTAGGAATGGACTATCATCTGTAACTGAAACCATGGCTCCATGGAAATCATTGCAGGATTTTCCCTTTCTTGCTCTTCAATTTCAGATAATTAGTTTCTGCTCATTGTTCCAGCCTGCTGAGATCTTTATAAATCTTGATTCTGTTCCCTATTGATAAGTTTATTATCCATATATGAGTATGGCTGGCAAGACAAGATTTTATTGAAAAGGCAGATGGTATATTAGAAACTGGGTCCAAACATGTATTCTGTGGTCACAGATAACCTGGAACCTTCCTCAGCCCATCATCTAATATCCTGTCCCCCTGAATGCAGAGATTTTGGGAAACAGAATAAACCAAAGCACGAAACCAGATGGAAGATACTAAAGAATATGTGCAGTTAATCGAGAAAAGAGATTTGTGAGAAGATTTAGTATATATTAAAGGGACCCCCAAAATCTGCAGATATTTAGACAGTTCGCAAGCAGCTAAATAAAACAAAACTCTCTCATTTTTTTTTATTATGAAAGAGATTTTACCTAGTAATGTAATGATCTCACATAGTTATAAGCCTTCACCTTTCTGTTAAGTATTCTTCAGTGGTTTAAACAATCATCTCTGTCAATTCTTTTTCCTCCCCCACCCCCCAACCTAGCAGAAAATAAGTGCAAGCTGGCATTTTTATATGAGACCTGGATATTTTTATTTTTGAAGTGTTCTCTGAGAACTTCATTACCCCCTTGGTAACCATTCCAACCGTGTGGGTAACTTGACACTGTAAAAAATGTTTTGATTCTGATAATTTTGCAGAACTTCAATGTCCGTGGTTTTATTGTACAACTTCTGCTAATGTGGGAGGAATTGTTTTGTGTGAGACTCTATGCTCTCTGACAAGAAATAGTGGGTTAGAAGTCGGACATGGATCACTTTATTACTGTTGCAATAATGTTTTACATTTCTGCAGGGCCTTTCAGATCAGAGTACTTTACAAATCACGATAGGCAGGGATAACTTGATTCATTGTTGAAATACAGCAAGTGCTTTAATGTTCCACAGTCACATATAACCTTTAAGGGCAGGAGGTTAAGGAACAGAGGATTATAGTTCTGGGGAAAATAATAAACCATTTTACTTACATGATGACTACTGCAGAGAGCTCAAATCACTTTTCAAGGTTCACTTTCATCCTCATCTCCAAATTTTTACTATATTCATCAGTCTGTTGCATAATAGGTACAGGACAGCCGCTATTATTTACATATTACAAACCTGGAGACTCAGGCTCAGGAAGATTCTGACTCTGAAAGCATGTAATGTAGTCAGTGATATGGCCAAAGAATAGCTTAGGGTCCCTTTTTTCCCTGATCCTCAATCCACAGGACCATGAGTAGGTAAGCTTAGCTCTTACACACAGTCTAATTACTGAGAATTCCTGTTTGATAGTATTTATTAAACATTTACTATTATAGAGAACTGTACTAAGTGCTAGAAAAGTAGAAATTGTACATAAGTTTATAGTCTAATTGGGAAAGAGAATGTGTACACAGATAACTATAATGCCATTCCTCAGTCTCCTTGGCTGGAACCTCTTTCAGACTACACCCTCTAACTAAAGGTGTCCCTCAGGGTTCTGTCCTGGGCCCTCTTCTCTTCTCTTTCTATATTACTTTACTTGGTAATCTCACCAGCTCCATGGATTTAATTACCATTCCCATGCTGATGATTCTCAAATCTGCCTTTCTGTCCCAGTCTCTCTGCTGACCTCAAACTAAATGCCCAGTAGACATCTTCTCTCTTTTCTTTTTTCTTTTTGCTAGGCAATGGGGTTCAGTGACTTGCCCAGGGTCACACAGCTAGTAAGTGTTATGTGTCTGAGGCCAGATTTGAACTCGAGTCCTCCTGAATCCAGGGCCGGTGCTCTATCCACTGTGCCACCTAGCTGGCCCTGCCCCAGTAGACATCTTAAACTCAATCTGTCCAAAACTGAACTCATTCTCTTTCCCCCTAAACCGCCCCTGTTTCTTATGTTCCTTATTTCTGTAGAGGGCATCAGCCTTCAGTGGCTCCCTCTTACCTCCTGGATGAAATACAAAATCCTCTGTTTGGTGTTCAAAGTCCTTCACAATCTAGCTCCATCTCACATTTCCAGTCTCCTTAACCCTTATACTCACTGTCTCTTACTCTTTGATCTAGTGATGCTGGCCTCCTTTCTGTTGAACATATAAAACACTTAATTTCTCAGCTCTGGTTCTTTTCTCTGGCTGTCCTCTCTATGCCTGGAACACTCTCCCTCTCATCTTACTCCGCTGACTTCCTTTCAGGCTTAATTAAAAACACATACTCTTCAGGATGCATTTTTTTCAGTCTCTTAATTCTAATGCCTCACCTCTCTTATTTATTTCCTATTTATCCTGTATATGGATTTTTTGTGTGTATTTGTTTACTTGTTGCCTCTCCCTCAAGACTGTGAGCTCCTTGAGGGAAGGAACTGTTTTTCTCCTCTTTTTAATGTTTTTTGGGGGCACTTCCAGGCATGCAAGTAGGAATTTATACTGTGACGTGGAAAAAAGTGTTCCTATTGATTATGGAAATAGAAGAGCTGATGACTTACTGGATATTAGACTGTCAGCTCCTTAACAGAAGGGACTGTATTGTTTTTCTTTGCATTGCCAATGTTTAGCACAATGCTTGACATATACTAGATACTTAACAAAAGCTTGTTGACTAACTATTGACTGATGATTGGACATACAAAAGTTAGCTGCTCACCCCCTTACCATTGCTTCCTTTCTCTCTCTCTCTCTCTCTCTCTCTCTCTCTCTCTCTCTCTCTCTCTCTCTCTCTCTCTCTCTCTCTCTTTTTAAGGCAATTGGGGTTAAGTTACTTGCCCAGGGTCACACAGCTAGTAAGTGTCAAGTGTTTGGTCTGAGGCCGAATTTGAACTCAGGTCCTCCTGACTTCATGGCCAGTGCTCTGTCCACTGTGCCACCTAAATACCCCCCATTGCTTCCTTTTCTTGTTAGGAGTATAGCAGGACTATATTGAGCAGCTGCTTGTGAGAGGCTCTACCCCTAAACATGCACATGTCCTACCTAGGCAAACTTGATCCTGGGATTGGATTCTTCCCTCTTGTTCTTTACTGGGCTTAGGCAAATAAGTATCTATCTTGAGAATGTGTCCAAGACCAGAGGCAACCTCATGAGAATGAAAGGTCCATCAATTTCTGGAGCTAGCAGATAGCAAGAGAAGCTTCTTCATTGAAAAAGACTTCCCTATAACAAATATGATGATGGACCCAAGACAGAGACATCTTGCTACCTGACATGTACTAAGTATTGGTTGGTAAGAGCTAGCCAAAGTGAAATGTAAAATGTCTAATTAAGTTGTCATGCAAGCTGCTTTCTTAAAGTTCTAATGAATTTGGGGCATCAGCCTCCCAGCTGATTGTAAAAGTATTCATATTAAATTTTAAGTCATTCTGTCCATTTATGCTCCGAGTCTTTAAAGTTCAATATTCCTTTTGTGTGTAATAATAAATTACCTGCCCCATATCTGATTCATATTGTATGCTGAGAACCTTGTTTTAGTCTTTCTTTTGGGGGAAACTCTAGACACAAGCCTAAACCTAAACTTACATACTTTTTTCCCTGAGCCCTTGGGTGAAATATTTAATGAGCCAATGAGTATGAAAAAGGAACATTCCTCTTCCTTCCATTAAAGTCAGGCACCTCCAGGACTAAACCTGGTCCAACAATATGCCTGAATATAGAACAGGGAAATGGAAGTGTTCCAGCCTCTTGAGCCATGCAGTTGTTCTTCATTGTTAAGACTATTCTAGCTTCCTGGGAATTTATCTGTGAAAAATAGAAAGGTTTACTGTAAATGGGGGAAGGGAATAAACATTTATTAAGTACTTATCATGTGTCAGGCATTGTACTTTACAGATATTATCTCATTTGATCCTCACAATAAGTTTGTGAGGTAGGTACCATTATTGTCTCTACTTTACAATAGAGAGGATGGTGGCATTCATAGATTAAATGGTTTGCCCACAGTTAAAAAGCTACTCACTTTCTGAGGTTAAATTTGAATTTGGGACTTCCTGACCTCAGGCCTAGCATTCTATCCCCTGTGTGGCCTAGCTGCCTCTGAAAGGAAAGGGTATTTCTATTTCTACTATTAGCATTTTCCTTCCTCCCTCCCTCCTTCCTTCCTTCCTTCCTTCCTTCCTTCCTTCCTTCCTTCCTTCCTTCCTTCCTTCCTTCCTTCCCCCTCATTCCCCAAATGAGACTTGCATCAGAGATCTTACAGACCTAGTTGCTCTCTTTCCATCTCATCCATCTCCATCCCAAGTGGCTACCCACATAAAGCACAAGACAGTCCTCAGATTCACTGCCAATCAAAAAAAAAAAGCCACAATGCACTAAGTAAACAAAATAAATAAAATTTTTAAAAGCTTTCAGGATGTATTTCCAATTTTGGCCACAAGGGAGTGTGTATGCAATACCTGTAGTTTCATCAGCAGCTGGAACAATGAGTCAGATGCCCATTCCTTGGTAGCGGGAGGAGAGTTTGGCTACTGCATCTAGCTAGCTAGTCATCATAGAGAATAAAGAATGAATTTAGATTTATAGGGTGGTAGAAATTCAGGAGTAGAGGATAGGTAACAATAACAGGATGTGAACAATAAGCTGGGATAATGGTCTATGGAGACCAGTAAGGGCTTATGAGGAATAGGGCCGAGGGTGGGGTTATGAGGCACTAAAACCCTACCAGAGCTCATGCATCTGGCTCTGGTGGAGCTCCCTTTCAGTGGAAAAACTTGGGGCCTGCTCCAGTAATGTGAGTCAGCTTTGTGCTACTTAGGAGATTGCATCACAGAGAGTATTGGACTTGACATCAGCAAAACTAGTTTTGAATCCTGTGTCACTTACAATGTGAGCCTGTGCAAATCATTTAATATTTCTCAGCCTCAGATTTCTCATCTGTAAGATGGGGATAATAATATTACTTGTTTCACATGGTTGTGAGGATCAAATGAAATAAGGAAAGTAAAGTATTTGGCAAACCTTAATTGTCTATATGGCAATATGACTCGTGTCTCTTTTGAAGGGAGAGCATGCCTCTGTCCAAGATTTGGTTTACAGATTTAAAGGTGAAAGGAACTTTCAGAGGTTATCTAATCCAACATCTTCATTTTTCAGATGAGGAAACTAAGGACCAGAATGACTTGTCAAAGTCAAACAGGTAATAATTGTCAGAGCTAGGATTTCAGCTCTGGTCCTTTGACTCCAAATTCAGTGCTCTTTCAGCTTTTATTCACATAGAAGGAATTTGATGACCTCCCTATTCCTCTCTCTCTCTCTCTGTCCTAAACTTGCCACTTATTCAGGTGAAATGCTTAGAGGGTCGCTATTGCAATTGTGAGTTTTTTCATTTGGAGTATGGCACATTGTACTGTGTATAAGGAAGTATAGTATACTTCAAAGGGCTCTAGGCCAAAGGTCAGGAGATCTACGGCCAGATTCTGGCTCTTTCATGATGTGATCTTAAGCAAATCTCTCAATCATTCTTGGCCTTTGTTTCCCATTCTGATGAGCAGGCTGGACTAGTTTGCTCAATGTCATTTCCAGAACTCTGATTCTATAAACTGAACATCTGTAACATTAGGAGATGTCGCAAATACAGTATAGCAAGAGAGAACAACAGATCAATCACATTAGTCCTTATTAAAGGAGATATTTATTTATGGAAGTGTTTTCTGCTTTCTGAGGTCAGAGAATTTTAAAAGGTTTCTCGGTGTCCTTCCTTAATCTCTTATGAAGCATTTTCAGAATTTTTTCACTTGTCTTAAAAATATAGTCTCTTTTCTAACAGCCAAGGACCTGATAGAACATTTTCTTGATTTCTTTCTTTCCCACATATCAATGACTTATTTTTAGGTAAGGTTGTGCCATCTTTTGGTGTTTTTCCTGCATGACAAACTCATTTATGTCATGGCTTTATTATTGGCCTGAAATATGTGCAGGATGAAAGGCAGCACCCCATTCTCTGTCTCCCTAGTTAGCTCCTCAACCTTTTGGGGTGGGTGTTTTCCCATGGTTCTGTCCTTGGTTGTCTCTTCTTTCTCTATACCCTTTTCTGTTGTCATTCAACTATTGCCTTACTACAGAGGACTTTCAAATCCTTATCTCTCACCCCCAACTCTCCTTGGAGCTCCAGACCCATATCTACAATAGCACACTTCCATTTGGATGACCCAACAGCACCTCAAAGTCAATATCCCAAACCTAGCTTATTAGATAATTTTGCATTTTGCTTTTACAATTTCTGTCAGTGGTACCACTTATTTACACATGTTCAAAACCTTGGTGTTACCTTTGGCTCCTTTTTCCTCATTGCTGACAGTCAGTTACTAAGTTTGAAGGATTCTACTTATACATTATCTGTTGCATACATGAGGGGACATCCTCTTTACTATATTTTGCATCTCCACTCTGTTTCTACTGCCCATAGCCTAGTAAGGCTGTTATTACCATCCACCCATTTTATTCCAGTAGCTATCCAACAAGGCTTTCTTGCCACTGTTCTCTTCCTACTCCAATCCATTCCTCTTACTGTTGTTAAACTAATCTTCCTTATGAAGATTAGCCCTTAGATCTAGTAGTATTCATTCCTTTGTACAAAACTCTTAAATGGTTCTCCATTGCCTGCCAATTAAAGCTCAAACACTTTAGCCTGGCATTCAAGGCTCTTCACAAGTTAAGATTACTTAATCTTTCTAGCATTATGCCATACTATATCCTTGAACTATAAACTCCAGCCAAACTGTGTTGCTTATACAGGACTCTTGCTTTTCTGTTTTTGTTCCCAATCCATGAAACCCGTGGTTTCCTCCCTCCTCCAGCTTCTCCTGTTGCATTCCTATGTATCCCTTAGCATTCACTCAAAACTGATGTCCTTGGGGAAGCTTCCCTGGTTCTCTCAGATTCTTCTTTACCTGTCATGCACTGCACTTCCCCCTGCAAACTCTCTTCAACTCTCTATTCATTTGTCATGTATTTTTTTTTTACAGTGATTTTCTATAGAATCACAGAATCTTCCCAAAGTGTATATGCAATATCTACCCCTTTCTACAGTATACAAACAAAACAAAAGTAGATTTTATGTCTTTATCTAAACTTTATATCTCCCCTAGCCTCTAAAATAGTAAATACATGTAATCTACATGATAGGTATTTAATACTTTTAAAAACTGAATTTAGTTGATTGATCTCTGAATAGAAGTTTGATGAGAGTTGACAGATGTCAGGAAAATTTGGTTGGGGCTTACACACTTCTTAAATAGAAGAAAAAATGAGAAGTATTTACAAAAATGTGGACAGTTCCTTTTATAGCACATTTTTTATAAATACAGCTATTTCTACTTTGACCTAGCAATTTATACAAATCATAAGTTTAGATCTGCTGAGGTCAACTTGGTTCACTCCCTCATTTTACAAATGAGGAAACCTAGAGCCAGAGAGATGAAGTGACTTGCTTAATATTCACACAGGTAGTAAAATGGCAGGAACCCAGGATCAGAACCCAGATTTTCTGGCACTACACCTGTTACTTATTCCATTACAGGATGGTAATTGAGAAGTGGAATTTAAGACACCAAACACACACTAGATTACAGGCAGGTGATCTTCCAGGTCCTCTGATGGCTCCTGAAAGTAGAAGGAAATTCTCCATTAAACTCCAGGTAGATTGTCGGTGGAGCATATGGATCTGAAAAGAATAAAAGTCAGAATTTTCTAAATGCAGTCTTCAGCATAGGGAAAATTCATTTCTAAACTAGGACTCATATTCAGCCAGGAATGGATACTCATTCCAGTGTTGAGCCAATAATATAATCCTGTAAGACTCTAACATAGTGAAGTCAGAAATACCTTGCAGTGAGAAGGGAATTGCAGGGGAGGTGCCCCACAGCCAAAAACTTTGGCAGGTTTGTGGGTGGAAACTATTTTCTGGCCATCTCAACGAGACATTTATCACCTTCTTCCCCAAAGGGCTTGAGACTGGTCATTAACACACTGTTGGGTACCTTCCCTCTTGGAGGGAGCAAAGAAAAGGAGGGTCAGAAGCATAAGATTCAAGTGTCTCTACCGACAGTTTCTCCATGTATAGCCCTCCTTCCCAGCTGCTTTCAGAACACTAATGCCAAATACAATGTGGAGATAAGAGAACAAATAGCCAGCTAGAAGTCTCAAGTACAACTGACTAAAATGTTTAACTGCCCAGTGGGATTCAGTGACAGTTGCAGAAAGCCTGCTTGAATGATGTAGGGAGAAGAGAGGAAAAAATGGGAAATGGTTTTGGCCAGAGATGAGACCAGCAATGGCCCTGGGCAAAACTATGAAGTTGGAGAGGCTGTCATGGGTCCCCTAACCTCTTTCTGAAGCTCTCCTTTCTTTTCCCTTTCTTAGGATACTTTGTTTTGGTGCTCTCTCCCTCCCCTCCAGTTCCCTATCAAAGCTTGCCCTGGAAAAGATCCAATATCTGTCACTTAGACCTTACTTAGTGAGAATTCAAGTCATTGTGCCACCTTTTCTGGACATTAATATTCATTTACAGTATTGCAACATAGTTATTGAAGTACCACTATGAATGAATGAATAAAAAAACATTTATGAAGCAAAGTACTAGGAATATAAACACAAAAGCGAAGAGATTCCTGGTCTTCAAGGACCTTACATTTTAATAAGGGGAGTAACATGTAAGGGAAGGATAGCCTAAGAGGGGTATGTTAGTGCTGAAAATTATTAGGATGGTGAGTGATAGGGGTTAAGAATGACACACCTCCTCTAGGAAAACTGGCAGAGTTTCAGAACTGGAGTGAGGGAAGAGAAAGATACAATCAGGGTCAGAAAGGCAGTTGGCTAGGCTATAGAGTTGGCCTGAGAGTAAGGACTGAGGTGAAGCATGCTTGGTGCTTGCCTAAAACAATAAGCCAGGAAGGACGGGTTATCCAGGACTGCACAGTACAGAGGGCGAGATCACTCTCTGTTGGAGAGAGCAGGGTGGAGAGCCACCAGGGAGGTTTGGAAAACTTCAGGGAATTGAGAATAGGTTGGGGATTTTTTTTTTTGTTGTTTGTTTTGAGTAAGGGCCTTTTCAGTTAACAAATTGTATTAATGATCCCTTACTGGTGATGACAGTAAAAGGGTAGAGTTTCGGGGTACAATAGTTTTTAAGCTCAGATGTTTTCTTCTATACTTATGGATCCCCAAACAAGCTTTGATTAGAAAGTTGAGGGTTCAAAATCTACTTCAGGCTATGGGAGTGAAAATGAGAAAAAAAGAAGAGTCAGAGACAACACGATCAGTCCGGCACTTCATGAAATCTGAGAAATGTTGGGAGCAGGGTTGGGGAGAGGCTGTGGAGGAGAAGCTATGCCACCAGCATCTGTAGGAACTCTATTTCCAGATACAGGCATTTCAGTCGGGCTGTTATTCATCACACCCTGGGCACATAAAGTTCTATTTGTGAAATGAATGACAACTTGGGGTAATTTGAGAGATTACTGTGGAGAAAGACACCAACAAGGGCATTTCTCTTTATGGAGTTGACCTCCACAGTGGTTCTCCTATTATGAAGTATACTACTCTGGGGCTGCTGTGACTAGAAAGCAAGACAAAAAGCCTCAATTGTGCCCCCTGCAGGTACTGGATAATTTCCTCTCAAATACAACGTGCAAGGGATGCCCATCCAACTTGGGGTTACAGCCTAGGGAGGACAAATAAAGGGGACTGCTCAGTACCCTGCAAACACAGTGTTACGAGGAAGCTCTAATCACCTCATCTCCTGGCTTCCTCCAGCTATGTCTTTTTCTGCTTTCACTGGGTTTTACCCCCAAAATTTCACTGACAGACGGCCCCAGGGGGCTCTCAAATAAGGTCATTCTTCCCCCCTCCCATTGACTCCTGAAAGGGGGTCCCTGTGAGGCCCCCTGCTGGGGGCGTATGGGGGCCACTGTCAGCGACTACCCCCTTCTCCTCGGGGTCCACTGTCCACCCCCTTCAGTGCAAGCCTTGAACCCCGTCTCTCTTCCCCCCAGCACCCCTCTCGCGCCGCCAGGTCAGCGTTCCGAACCCCCAGGTCCCCGCACCCCCTCCCTCCGGCCCCCATTCCGTTCCACGAGGGCTGCGGCGAAAACCTGGAGCCCTGGAATGCAGAACGGAGGCAAAGCAGCCGAGCCCACCCAGCGGCGCGCAGCGAGCCGCCACGACCCGGACTCGGGGAGACGGCGGCGGCGGCACTGGGCATGCTCTGTGGCGCCAGCGGCTGGGGGCGGAGGCGGGCTGGGGAGGAGGGGAGCTTGGGCGCCCGCGCGGCCAGTTCAGTCTGCGCGGGGCAGGCGCGCAGGGTGGATGTCCCTGCTGTGGCTGCTGAGGCGGCGGCGGCGGTGGTTGAGGCTGCAGCGGCAGCGGCGGGCGGCGGCTGTCGCCTGCGCCTGACTTGGGGTTTCGGCTGGGAGGTGGGAGAGAAAGGAAGAGAAAGGGAGGGGGGTTGCCGTGAGCTGTCATCCCCCGAGGGGGAAGGCGCTGTCTTCCCCTCCACCCAGCGCTTTTTTTCTTCCTTGCCATTTTTCTTTATCGTTGTTTCTTGCCCCGCTGCTTACCTCCCCCAGCTCTCCCTGCACGGTGCCCACTTCATGAGCCGGGGCCCGGGTTCCGGGAGGCGGCAGCAGCGGCGGCCGCTTCTGTAGCGGCGGTCGCCCGCGGAGGATTGCCCAGCCGAGGCTGCTGCCAGTGGGGCTCCTCCTCCGCCTGGGCGGCCGCCCGGATTGAGCTCAGCTGCTGCCTCTGGGGGCTGTGGGCACTTTTCTTCCTTCCCCGCGGGACGCGAGCTGCGGAGCCGAGGAGCGGGCGTCGGCGGAAGGGCGTGCGGTCGCCGAGCTCCGTATTATCCTGGTTGTTTGGGGGTTCGATACTTTTTTCATTTTTCGGAGGGGAGGGCGAGCGACCGAGGAGGTGGGCGCCGCCCCCGCCCGTCCGCCTGTCCAGCAGTCCCGCCGCCCGTCCGGCCGAGCCGCAGTCCTTCTCCTACCCCCCACCCCCCCACCGGGGCCGGCCCGGGAGCGAGCAAGGAGCCGAGAGGATGGAGGAGAAGTACCTGCCCGAGCTGATGGCGGAGAAGGACTCGCTGGACCCCTCCTTCACTCACGCGCTGCGGCTGGTGAACCAAGGTAAGTATTCTGAGGAGGGGCGCTCCTCGACCACCGGCCCCCCGGGACCAAAGGGCCTAACCTCACGACCCCCGCCCCACAGGGGAGCCAGGGGACGACCGTTAACGAGTGTACAGTGGCCGTTGCGGGGGAGGGGGACAGGGAACTGAGCATTTCGGGCAAGGGACCGGGGGAAAATCCTGGGGGAACTGTAGGAGACGGGGGAGAAACTTGGAGGTCAGAGGACTAGGGAGAAATTGGGGGAGGATGCTGAAAATCTGGTGGGGAGGACTTGGTTTAACTAGGAAGACATGAAGAGGGGTGCATGGGAAAGGAAAATCTGGCGTGGGGAGCAGGGACAGGTGCATGGGGGGACTCGGGACCAGGGAGAAACCTGGGGGACTTGGGAGAAATTTGGAAAATAGGCTAGGGGAAAATAGGAAAGTGAGTCTTAGAACCTAGATGAGATTTTGGGGACGGACACTTGGGTTGGAGTAGAAGGAGTTCTGTAAAGAGGGAGCAGACAGAATTGAGGGGACTTGAATCTGGGAGCTTGGTAGAGAAAACTTGTTGGGGGCCACTCACTGAAGGGAATGATCTATTTCCTTCTAGCTAAGGTATGGAAGGAGGAGATACTATGTTGCCGAAATTGAGGGTCCTTAGGTGATGAAGAAGTTCAGGATTCCCCTGGGGGAGAGACTTTAATGAGGTTTAAGGATAGAGGAACCAGTATTCTGGGACTGTCCAGAGTGGGATGAAGTTTCTGTCTCCTCTTCATCCCTGCCCTGGGTTTTCTGGATTGGAGATTGAAGAGAAGTGGGAAAGGAATATTTAAAGGCCAAACCCTTGGGGGTGCCACTTAGAGGGGGTTGAATAGAGAGCAGGTTAAAGACAAGGGAGACCTTCTTGATGTATCTTTTTAGTTCTTCGGGTTTGGAGCATTCGGGGAGGCAATTATTTCTGTTATCGCTTTAGTAACACTTCAGCTTAAGGCAGTGTGGACTTGATGGGACTTGGAAGGCACAGAAGGAGGAAGAACACTTGCTAAGGACAGAAATTTCCCTGGCAGTGTTAATCCCAAATGTTTTTTTTCAGTCAGTCTGCAGGAATGAGCTGAAGAGCAAGCAGTCCACTTCTGTACAGCCTTTTGTGCTTTGTAGTAAAATATACTGCCTGTAAAGAGGGGTTCTGGAGCCACTGACTTTTCTTCTCTATATGTTAGCATAAATTTTCCTCCAAGTATTTTATGTCGTGTAAGGTTTGTCATGTGCAATGGGCAGTTGTTGTCCATATGTAAAATTGGATCTGTTGATTTTAAAGATGGTTGCGTTTATTTCATTGTTGCAACTGTTTCTGAGTAGGATTTTCCTCTTACTTTACTTTTGAAGTGATTGGGAGTGCTTCTGGTGAAACTGACAGTATTAAGAAATTTAAAAGAGAATATTTTATGAATTGATGAACAAAACTGGATTTTGGAACTTAAATCTTGTTCTTTGCAAATATATTTTTCTGTAATAAAAGGAGCTTGTTAAAAATGGATATTACATATACATTCTAAAAGAAAATATAAATTTTCCATTTATTAAGTTTTTTTTATAAAGTTCTACAATTGAATTCAGTACTCCTTACCCTTTGTGATTTGCATAAATCTTTTGTTGCTTCTGTTGGGCTGTCTTTGCTGTGAAAAAAAATTTCCTTGTGTTGTGTGAACAGAGGCATTAGAGACATCTTGGGTTACTGTCAAAATACAGTTTTCTTAACAAAGGATCTTAATCAAAGTACTGTCAATCAGTTAAAGAGACAAGTTTGTTTAACTAAAAGTATAATGAGTCAGTTTCTCAAATCCACATTTATTCTGTTATAATACTATTCATAAACTAGTCCAGATTACCTAATTTTTCAGTATTTAATATTTAAAAACTTTAGTCTTAATATGAAAATGTTTCTTCTAAATTGTCTTATAAATATAGCTGTCTAGTTCTATGTAGTTTTAATTATAGTTATCCAAGCTTTCAACTTCCCTGATAAAAATGAGTCCAGTGAAAACTGCCATTCTCAAATTGCATATTTAAGTGAGGGTGGTAGAACCCAGATGTTATGTATCTTGTTACTGTTAAGTGTGATCTAGTCCACTGTAGATAGAATAAGATTTTTTTTAAAATAGTACACTAAATATGTCATTTATCTGAGCTTTATTTTTTAAGTAAAATATGTTAAGTATGAATATGTTCTGTTATGTAACTCCCAAGTTTCTAGTCATTTACTAAATTCAGTATCTTAAAATAAAAAGATATTGATTTCCAAAAAAGTCAGAAAACCTTTACTTTGACCTCAGATAATCATCTTGTCCTTGGCTTTTTGAAAATGTTTTTATTTTCTTAACTGCTTGTGGCTTTTGGAAACTATTTCATATCAGTTATTTTTAATCTCAACACTTGAACCAGTGGTGGTAGAATATGCTCAGCAACGATTATACAATCATGTAGAGAGTGAAGATGCCACAGGTTTTGTTGGTTGCCGTGTTTTGAAGGTTAAATCCATGACATAGGAACTAGCTCATATGTTAATTAGGAGCTCTAAAAATCAAACTAATTATTGTTACAATTTTAAGACGAACATGTTTTGGAAATGTGTGCTTTGAGTACTTCTGCTATTTATTTTTAAAAGTTTTCATTTTAATAATCTGTCATTGTTTTATGTTCTTTTTTGGAGAACCTAATGGTTCATGAGGGACTTAAAGAATTACAACACTTTGTCAGAGTATCACATTAGATTTTTAGCAGTTGTATGGGAATGTTTTATAACTTTTTAAAAATAAAGTCATTTGCTATTATGGAAGCACTAATTTATAAACAAGTCTTAGCTAAGTCGGATAGTTTTTATAACTAATATTTTTTATTTTAGTAATATGTTACCCAGCTTTTATAACCCTGCTATGATCTTAATTCACACCCTCTATGACCACTGAGTTAACTTCATAGGAATTATCAAAGAATTGATGCAAGTCTGATCCAAAGTTGTGGAATTATTTATGTAATGGAGTCTTTAATATTTTAGATAGAATCATCAGTCTTCTGGTCCAGAGGTGACAGACTTGAAATGCAGGGAGAGATAGGCATTTTGGGGCAGGTCTGGTGTGGGAAATTTGTTTTACTGGACTGTGTGGATGTTTGTTGAGGGATTTTTTTTCCCCCTTATTATAGTGGGTTGATGGCGGGAGGGACAGACTGGCAGAAAAATGGTTCTTGTTTGAAAAGTGAAGAGATAATTAAAGTATTTTACATGGCAGATGCACGTTGGATCTTGTGCTTTAAAAAGCATATGTTAAATGGCAAAGAGCTGACTTTTAATACTTTTCCAATATCAATGGTGTTTTAGCTGAATGTGTTGTGTGGCATTCCCTTTTTTTTCCCTCTGGGGAAAAATGTAAATGTGCGTCTTCTGTCATTTTCCTGAGGCATTCTAATAGCAAATCAAGAAAATGGAGTTTTGATAATATTGGAACACATGCATTTCATCAGTTTTTAGGTATTTGGTCTATCGAGGTGGACACATCCCACATTCAGGTAATAAGGTGTTATAGAATGAATAAAGTATTGTAGGGGCTCCCTAAGGGAAAGAAATCCTTACATGAATGCTTTCCTTCCTTGTACTATTTTTGTACTATTTTCAATAGGGCAAATGGAGATGGACAGCAAGTTGCATATTTTGTATTCTGTTTACTGGTGGGGCTGCTGACTTGCTAAAAAACATTTTCAGATATGCCTTACACATTATAATATGAGTCCAACTCTGCAATACTGCCATTGATGGCTTTATGTTCAAGCCAACAGTTGTTAAATAAGATTACATAACCTCTTATTTTTAATTATGTAAAATAATCTATGGATTGGTGGCTGGTAATCTGCCAACTTATGCTCATTTACTGTTGGTTGTTAAAGAAAATGGAAAAATAGTTAAGCTTAAATTTGTCTTTTTTGTTTGGTTCCAGGAAGGTTGTGTTTTTGCTTTGACAGTGGAGATTCAGTTGGTGTTTCAATGATAAAACCTTTTGCACTGATACAACTATTCATCAAATATTAGGATTCCTCATTCTATTTAGAATCCCATCTGTGTCAATTCTAGTTTAACATAAAGATTACTAGTTGGAAGCAGTGTGGTACAGAGGAAAGAGAGTGGAATTTGAACTCAGAGGATCTGTGTTCAAATCTCTGCTTTGTTTTTTATTCCCTGAATGACCTTGAGCAAGTTACTTAATCATTGTGGGCCACAGTTTCCTCATATATAAAATAGGAGTGTTGTACTAGATGACTTTCTGAGGGCCCTGGCAGCTCCCACTGCCCTTTGATCTTATGTCCTAGTTTTACACAGCTAATCTAACCAGAATGTAAGTTTACTTAGTCATGTGAGTAAGGGAAAAATGATTTTAAGCCCTTTTGAACTAACAAATTATTAGTTAAGGAATCATTGTTTGTTGCTATAAGTAACAGTAAAGAAGACTAAAATTGTAGAAATGTTATGGACTTAAAATAGCATTCTCTGTTTCATCCTGTGTGGAATACTTAGGTTTATTCAAGTTAGCAATTTTTTTTTGTTGTTGCAGCTAACGTGATATTTTAACAAAATATTTCTTGGTTTAGGTTTAAAGGGCGTAGTCATTCAGATAACTCATTCAGAGATTAAGAGTAATGGTTCAAAGCAACAGTAAAATTATGACAAAATATCTTTAATAACTGAATATTGGTGATGTCATTTATTATTTTGAGTCTTGAATTTATGGAATCTTTTCCTTCCTTAAGGAAAGGAAAACTTATCTTCAGAAATATCCCTTTGAGGTGCATAGTAGCCATTTTACATTTAAAGAAATAAGATAGTAGTAAAGTAATTGGTCAAGGTATGATGGAATAGCTAATTAAGGACATGGTGGTTGTGCAAATCATTTTCCCTCTCTCTCTCCCCCAGAAAAATGGAAGTTGCTTGAGGGCAGAGAATATTTTGCTTTGGGCTTTTATCCTTAATGC